TCACGCGTCGCGAACGAAAGGTGCACATGTACAATCGGTACACCCGTTGTATAAATCTGCCGGTTGGATCGGCTTAAACGCTCCTCGGGGCGAACTTTTACGAGGCACGCATTCGTTATCCATTAGGGTAAAGTATAGCACGCGTGGTGGATCTCTCTCCGGCCGGTGTTACCAGTGCCCCGTTGATATTCATGTGCTCGCGAGGCCGGCCATTCCGTCGCGGCGTGTGTGTAAACGGCGGGCATAATTGAATTATCATTCGAACCGCATGAAAGACAGCCAGAGAGCAGGCCGACGTGGTAATGAGCGAAATACGCGTTACGCTTTGCTCGCTCGCGCCGCGGTTTCAAAATAACCCCGGTATATTTAGGCAACAATGAGACCCGGCGATAAAAGCGGCCACGATTATTCGATCCCTCCCCCATCTGTCCGCCCACCCTCCCGCGGCCGGTCTGCTCTCCGCGAATTATCGACATTCAAGGATGGGACAGCGTTACCGGAAATTCATTTCAGATTAATCCTAATACGATCGAACAACGAAGTGAAACGGACTCGACACCCCTATTGTTCCTGTGCCGCTAGGTGCCGATTTCCGACGAAAATTCTGTGTAGCTCTGTCGTGGATATACAGGGTGGTGGGAAAGAAAAGAGTTACAAAGATTAAAGGTAGATAGTGAAATTGTGATGCATATGGGAGGAGAGATTGATACTTTTTTCAAAGTTGGGGATATATCTACAGGGTGGTAGAAAAGAAAAGAGTGGAGAAGATTAAGGATAGATAGTGAAATTGTAGGGGGAGTTCCCTTAACGCCGGACGGCACCTAATATCGGACATTAGTTATATCTGCAGTAATTGAAACGCTACCGAGCCGTTATTCTGCGTATCTCCTAGAGGAGACAAAAGGAATAAAAATTAGTTTTCTACGCGTTTCAGTCGCGTGTACACAAGTAGGGAGATTTATTTAAGAAAAACCTTAAGCGTCCGGCGTGGATGAAAACAAATTTCTTTCTTTTGCAAAGTTATAAACAATTTTTGAAATTCTGTGCAGCTCACTCGTGGATATATCTACAGGGTGGTAGAAAAGAAAAGAAATGAGAAGATAAAGGGTAGATGGTGAAATTGCAATAAACGTGGATGGAAATAAATTTTTTTCTTTCGCAAAGTTAGAAATAATTGTGGATATACAGGGTGGTGGGAAAGAAAAGAGTTACAAAGATTAAAGGTAGATAGTGAAATTGTAATAAATACGGGAGGAGAGATTGATATCTTTTTCAAAGTTAGAAACAATTTTTGAAATTCTGTGCAGCTCTTTCGTGGATATATCTACAGGGTGGTAGAAAAGAAAAGAAATGGGAAGATAAAGGGTAGATGGTGAAATTGTAATAAACGTGGTAAGAAAAATTGATATTTTCCTCAAAGTTAAAAACAATTTTTAAAGCTCCTTTAACACTTGTGTCAATAACCCGGGTACGTTCTTTTGCACACTCTTACTTCAAATTCTTTATCTTCCCGGTGGAAGACTCGAATATCCCGCCAGATCTGTGTCATTTCGCACATTTTCTACGTGTTTGCCTCAAGTTCAGAATTTTGTTGCCAGAAAACTGCTAAAAATTGGAAAATTGAAAAATTGAACGTATAAAGTAGACGACAATTATGATTATCGGCACAAGGGTTAAAAATTCTTCTTATTGTTACGGAAGATCTTCTATACATTCCCGATTTTTGAAAATGTTCGTATAAAATCATGCGGTACGTGCGACACCGATTGTCGGTGCTTATTTAAGAGATTAAAAGATCGTTTACGCGGCAGAAAAATAGATTACCCCTTTACCGCGGTATTCTCGACGAACGTTTGATATCCAGATAAACCAATCCACCTTGGCATTTTATTAATGAAAGTTTAATTGCACGTGCTGATGCTAATTAATAATCCCCGTCCCCCCCCCATCGGTCCCCCAATAAATCAAGTTAATTTTCAGTTTGATTAATTCCACCGGCGGACCGGCCGCCGTTCAAGTTAATTCCCTGAAAATAACCGGCATAACATTCAATTAAGAGTTTCGCACAAATGTAGCGTAACGAACGGCGTTTCCACTGGTCTAGAACCTCGTCCAAGGAGGAACCAGTTGGTTCGTGATAAATCACGCGTTCACCGGAGGCAATAATCGCGCGAAAAAATTCATGAAACGTTACAAAGAACTTAACGTACACCGTGAAGATTAGATCTGTTGAACTAGCGTGAGACGAGTGAACTCGTCGTTGATCGTATCAATACTTAGAACGCGGTATTGGGTTACGGAAGTGAAATAGTCTTTGTAAACTGTTAATATTCTATTTATTGTCCAACGAACTGTCTCTGGACGCCGAAAACGGGAAAGTTGGGGTCCGCTTATACCTAGGAACTGTTTACTCTATTGTATCGCAGTGTGCAGTGCTTGACTCGAAGACGAACACCAGACACACCTGGTGGAAGTCTTATGCGTCGTTCAAAATAAGAGTAACCTCGCTCTCGGACCGATTCTCGTCCGTCCTGCGCGTAGACAGAGAGCGTGGCAGAGGGCAAGACGGAGAAGAACGTAGGCGGTTAAGTTCGGACGTTGTAGCCCTGCCTTAGGCACGCCCCATGCGCGAAGCGAGGTTACTCTTATTTTGAACAGAGTATAGCGTCTTTGTCTAAAAGAACGCGGAGACATTTTTGTCCTCGCTTGATTATTTCTACAGAGTGTTGTTAGAAATAATCCAACAGCCTGTAGAAATAAAGAAAGTTATCGAAGAATTGTGAATTTTCTCAAGAGTACCAAAATGAGCATTTCTATTCGAGAGGTTAACCCTTTTGTGAATATATTTAAACATAACGGATAGTGCAGCAATCGTGTAGAAATTGATTGTCAACTTTGAACTCTCTTAACCCCTTAACGCTCACATTTTCCTCAACTTGGTGTTCCAAAAGTGATCAATTTCTATTTCTTTCTCATTATTTCCGAGGCGTGTAGAAATAAGTTTCTCGTTTATTCGTAACACTGTGATTCAGATTTTCGCGATAGAACAGAAAGGACAGCGCGATACGATACAGCGAAAGACACTGGCACGAGCGTTAAAGGGTTAACGTTGGAAAATCTGGCCCAAAAGTAAGAAAGATGATGAAGTTATTCTTCACATGTAGAGGGCACGATCTCGTTTTTACTCGTCGGCGTTCGTTCCCCGAAAAGGGTTGAAAAATGATTTCATACCACGGGGAAACAAACAAACGTTCAGATTCTACGGGTCGTTGGAAAAAATTCCTAACCGTTCCTCGTAAACCCCTCCCGGTGGCCTCTTCTCACATATGTTTGAATCAAGATTACGACATTCTTGCTTTTTCTCGTTCCCTGGGCGAAGATTAAAATCTGGACCGGCGAGAGCAGTTGGACCAGCGCCATTTCTTCTTCTTTTTTTTCCTCCTTTTCTCTCTCTCTCTCTGTTGCGCCCTGTAACCTTACACCGCCGTGAGCGCGCGCGCGCGCGGGTCATTTCCACTCGACGGGAGAACACGTGGCGGTGTTAAGAAACTCGCGGTAGAAACACCTTATATTTATAAGGAGGGGACGCACGAGCGATGCCACGGAAACCGCGACGCTATCAAACGATCGTGAACATTCGGAAGATTTTCAGGTGTCGACACGTGGAGCAACATTTTTCACCCCGCCATCTGTCTTCCGTCCCGCGAGAAGAAAAGAAGGAATTTACTCCGCGAGATAATTCCCGGGAGGAGTGGGGGGAGATATTGTTTCACGGTTCGAGTACAATTCGAAGCGTTCTCGAGACTTGGGATATGGAAAAATCGTGGAAATTGCGACTACGACGCGTCGTTCGCATATTTCATCCGTTGACACGGAAATCACGAGGACCGTTTAACCGTTGGTTAGGAAGGAAACTAAACCGACGCACATTGCCAACGTCGGAAATGCCACGCTGGTTATTAAGCATTAGTCCTGGCTTTAAACGGGAACGGTTTAAACGTAGAGTGGAATGAAATCGAAAGGGAAAATATAACTGTGATTCTCGTTCCTTTCTTTTGTTTTGCTCTCGAAATCTTAGAGTTACACGTGAATCGTGTGGACACAGTGCTCCAGTTCGACATACTTGTGTCGTTGAATTAGATGAAGATAATTTGTTTAGATAGTAATAATTGAGCGTTTATCACGGTACTGTTGAATTCGTTCATTTCGCTGTTTTGTTGTTTCGAGTAAAATAAGAATAGTAGACTGACAGACAGTATTGATAGTACGTACCTTGTTGCATTTTGAATTTAAAAAGAGGTTAGGTAATGGCGCCCTCTGGAACGTGCATTGCCCGCGCTTTTTTTCTTTTTTCGTTAGCCTCGACCTATGATAGAAAATAGAATCCATTGATTTTCCAGTTTTTCACTTCAGATTTACTGTTTGTAATTATCGGTAGCGGTTATTATTAGATTGTAAAAATAATATTTCTATAGTATTTGCGTGTTACGTGTACGGTTTATTTGTTCGCAAGCTGTTCGTTGTATTCGTATATATATTTGTGATTTACTGGATTTCGTAACGTATAATTACAAATAAAACAATTTCGATTGATCTAATGATTCTTAAGTTACTTTTATGCATATACGATGAATATTTTTGACAAAGTTCTTACTTTAAAAACGTAATTACTTACGTGCTACGTGAACGCGGGAATTTTCTTCGATTCACTGGTGTGAAACTGTCGATTATTATTCGTACTTTGAAATATTCAGTTCAAATATAGATACATTATCGCCATCTATGAATTTGTGCGTCACAATCAAAAGAAACGATTAATTTTTGAAAATTCTGTCGAAAATGTTATTAATACGTGATAGTGTAGAGTGATTAATGTAGAACGAAGTTAAAATACAAATGATATCTTAAGAAATTATTGAAATATAACTAAAAAAAAACTTATCGACTGAATTCGGACATTCAGTGTGTTCATTCGTAGTGAACTATTTACATTACGAAAAGTTACCTCCTGAAAAACTTGAATTGTAAATGTGCCCCTATAGAATCTGCGGAAATATAAGAACGACCGAAGGAACATTTTACCTTCTATGAAAAACTGTTCCGTGAAGTGCGCAAATTGCCGTCAAGTTGAACTAATATATTTTCCTTTGAAACAATACCTATAACTCTATAATAAAGTAGACATGAAAGAAGGACCCAATGTATCAGACGTAAAGAACGACGATTACATTCATGAGAATGGAGAGGTAATTTTACATGACTTATAGTGTTAAAATCATTACTGAAAGTGTCTTCTTTACGTTATAACAATTGAAAATACATTTGACTTAAGAGGTTATGCGCGTGATTACTAGAAAGATATTTAACCTCTCAGCTATATTTGATAAGAATATATCACTGTTTAATGTTCTTCTATTTTTATTATATTATTTAATTCTGAATGATTTATTTCTTATCTAATCGTTATTGCAAGAAAAAAATAAAACATGTCATAGTTAAGAGGTTAGTGTTTACAAGGTATTAACGTAAACAAAGGTATATTTGTTTTTCAAATTTCTTTATTTCCAGTAGATTCATTTATAATTCGATATATATCACATGCCTTTACTTAGTAGCTTTACATGTACACTATGAATCAAGTTAGTATAAATTTATTTATGCAATTGTAATAGGCTGTTAATACAGAGGAGTCTCCAGCAAAGCAGAAATTGCGTGGATGGCTGAATCGAAACTTGCGAATAAAAATGACAGATGGTCGTATTTTAGTGGGTGCATTCTTATGTACTGACCGTGATGCCAATGTGATTTTAGGATCATGTTCAGAATTTTTGTCAGAGGATCACACAGAAGCAAGAACTCTTGGTTTAGTTATGATACCTGGTAGACACATTGTAACAATACATCTTGATGATTGAACAACTATGGTTCTTTTAAGTTAGCTGTACAGAATTCGTTGTCCTCCGTTCTTTTGCATTATACAGTTATTTTGTTACCTCTGTATTTTTTTAATTTATTCAGTAATGTGAATAATGTTATTAAAGAAAGAAATAAGATGGTGTAAATAATTTATTTCTAACATGTTTCTATTTATTGTACAAAAACTTAGAGATAAGTTTTAAATGATGAGCAAAGAATATATTACCATACTAAGTAGGTTCTTCGTTTATTTTTATATTATCCACATTATCGTTATCTATTTTATTTGCTGCAAAAGAAGTACAGTAAAATTAGTAAGAATAACCCAACTTATCCCAAATTTAATAATTTTATCATGCTTACAATTTTTAATGCATTCTTTTTGTACATGACAGTATTCTTGTTCAAGTACTGTGATATGATTAACTTCTTCCCTGATATTTTTTAAAGCATCGTCTATTCTTTGGGTAAGAGTGAAACTTCTAGAAAAATATATTAGAAAAATTTTTAATAGTTGTTATATATTGATATAAATTTATTTTATTTTCTCTTACAGTTAACATTTCTTTTTTATTTTGTACTTTTGATCTTAGTTCAACTATCATGTCCCAATGTGTATCACTAACATTAAATTCTAAAGTTTCCCTTGAAAGGGTAATTAATTCACTTAACAATGTCCTAAAAAGTATTTTTTATATCATTTTGACATAAGATGTGTATACAAAAATTAATTCATCGGTCCTTTTAATTTTATAAAGACATTTAACTTACTTGTACTCATTACTAGTTTTCATTATTGTTGTATATGTAACAGTTAATGATTGAGTTGCACTGTTAACTGCATCTATTGTTGATTGCTGTATCATATATTCAGGTGTTAATTTTTTAATATCAACAGGTTCAAACTGTAATTTATCATCTGCTGTGGGTGTCTTAGTTTCTGGCTGATTTACATATGTAAAAGTTGTAGCATACTGTGCATTAAAAAGAACATTAAAATTAATTTTATAATCAGTATTTGTATCTGTTTATTAACGAGGATAAAATAGAAAAAAAGTTTGATTGAATCAAGTTTTAAACTTTACCATGACAGGACTAGCTCTCTTTAAGAATAATTTAAAAAATTTACGTAACATGATTATTTATAAGTAACCGTCACCAAAAACTAAAATACAATATTATGCAGCTATTTTATGAAATCATTAATACGGTTAAGACGCATGTTTCACATGTGGATTTTTGGAATTGTATCGATTAAATAAACAATTGAAATATGTCATTCAAAATGAATTTTTCATTCGTGTATTAAAAATTATAACGTATATTTTGTTTTTACATATGAAACTATATTTAAAAAAGTTAGATATTAGAAGCAAAGAAGCTTTATTTATTGAAGAGCTATGCAATATTTTCTCACGACTGTGGAAGCATCTAGCGGCATGATATGAAATCAAATATAGAGCTGCTGATTAAAATGCATATCAAATTTTAAACTTTAATAACATGATTGAAATAGATAATGTAAGTAATAAATTTAAAAACTAGTCATGAACCTTATGTTTCTATTATGATATTAGTAATAATGCGTAGAAGTGTTTCGTAATTTCTTTATTGTAATTATTGTAAATATTAAATTATGTAAGATTTATTACATTGTACGTATATAACACAATGATTATACCAATGCAATAATTATTTTTAACTTTGTAAAAATTAAAATACTAGAACTCTCAATATGTAAAAATAAATAAACAATTATTAATTAATTTTCTGTATTCGATTGCAGGAAGACTTTGTGTCTATGTTTTCTTATAATTATTAATTTTACTGCAAAATGCACTAATTGATAATAATATTAATTTTTCTCATTCTATGCTTTGTTCATATCTTACACACTGCTTTATTCACTCGAGACAATAAATAACATAATTAAGAAATTTAAATTACAATTATATTCATTGGAATGGTTTTAATTAATTTGCATCAAATTCCTAAAAAGAAGCAAATTATTTTGCACACAAATTGCAACTCCCTTTAAACAGATAATATTGTCAGGCATAGAGTTACCTCGCGTAGTATAATTTAATACGTAACAAATTATGCGCGTTTTATTGTAACAAAAGTTGAATGATATGATTATTATATTCTAAAAGGAATTATATTGTCAGTATAATGGGACCATGTATAGGATGCACTGAAGTTAGGCGTTTTGTAGCGAGGATTAATTAATTCGGAATTAAAAGAAATGAATAAAATATTGAATTTTTTTTGATAAAAAAGTTTGTCCCGTATGTATGCATGCGTAATCATAGTGCTCGATGTAGATGTTTGTAGAAAATCAGTATTAAGCTATAGCATATTGTATATCTAAGAATATAGTATCAAGAAGTATCACAATTAAATACATATTATGCTCACTCTAGACAAATTCCGACCAAGTAAAACGTTGTGTTATTACTAAATAACGATGTTACGCTAATAATTTATTCATTTGATAAACACATAAATGTTTGATAGTCGTATAATTGTTTAGAATTGTTTAATGGTGAATCAAACTTGTAGCTACTTGGTAAATGTCCTTTTATATGATGGTCGGTTTTCTTTTCCTTTTGGTTTGTATGCAAAACGCTGTAGGATTAAATAGAATAACACTTAATATTCACATTCGCAAAGTAATTCATCCAGCCACAATAACACATAATTTCTTAAATTTGATTTAGGTTTTTAAATGCATTCATAAACCTGTTCTATAACATAATAAATTGTCTAACTTATTAACCGAGGCGCGATCGGTCAATAATAAAAGTCACACACTTTTAAATAAACTTTTTCTTAAAGTTCTTGATGTACATCTTCTTCAGTACTTTCACGATTCGTCTGAGGTTCATTATCTTTTAACGACTCCGACGAGTCTTCTGAATCTAAGGGTTTTTCATTTTGTACTTCAGCATTATCAGATGTATTTTCATGCGGAAGTTTTTCTGCCTGAGATTCAGTTGATGCTTTAGGAATAGGTTTAAATTCTGACCCTTCCTTGGTATTTGTTGCATTTTCATTTGTGCTCTCCGTATTGTTTGCAGTAAATTCCTGTTTTGGCCTCCATATTTTTGCCTTATTTATAAGATATTTCACTTCTCTATCGAGCAACGCCATTTTGTTTGCAATATCGCGAACTCTGTATTTCACAGGTTCGTGTAAAGGCGTCTCCTCAAAGGATTTAACGAATGTGTCATAGTATTCCTGAAAATGAATATAAAATGTTATATAATCAACTATTTAATGTGATAAAAATAAAACAACAAGCCTATATTTCATTAGCAATAACAACAGTAATTCTTTTACCTGAGTTTCATTAATAAATTTTTCTAATGTGTCTATCTCGACTTGAGTAAAGATTTCGCTCGAATTAAACTTTGAGCTCAAATTACGCATATTATTCAAAAATGTTGTGCTTGCATTCAACATAGAAGCCATGCCTTTTAATACTTCTTTGCGTTCTCTATGTTCGTAAACACGTTCATACACGTCATTGGTTAGTTTTCGAAGATCTGATAATTTTTCTTCGTACACTTCAGCAGTTGCACTAAATCCATCTTCATACAGCCATTCAGAAACTTCAGAACATGCTTTCAGTATATTCTCTGCCTCTTGAGAAGTAGCAGCGACAGCATATTCCTCTGATTCCAATTTTTGTTGAGCATCGATTATGAATGTTTCTAAATTATTTAAAGCTGTTTCGCGTTTTGCTTTTTCGAAATCACATACGTCTAACTGGTGCAATCTAAAATTATCATAAAATATTCATGTTGAAGTACACATTATGCATCATATACACACATTATGCAGTTACTGATATTTGCACTCACTTATCTCGAGATTCGAGTAGTTTGCTCCCAGAAAGAATCTGTGGCCCTAACTTGACTTCATCAGCTTTGATAGGTTCTTTAATCGTTACGATCGTAGCTTTCTTCTCTTTCTCTTTCTCAACTTTCTCCGTTTTATTCACCATCTTATCCTCAGTAATCGTACTTTCGTTCTTTTTCTTTGTTTTATCCTCAGTCTCCTTTTGTAATTCAGGGTATTCCGGTTCTTCATGAACTGGTTTTATATCTTCTTTTAATGGTTCCTCTGTTTTTCCTTCTTTATCTTTATCTTCTGACCCTAAAATTTTCCGATTACGTTTATCCAAACACTTCGTTTACATTCATATGAAAGTTATATCAAATGCAATTACACTTCTTTTACATTCTTACGAAACATTATAAAATAATATCAAAATGTGATCAAAATTCTAATTATGTAAAAAAAGTGTGAAACATTTGATAATTAACACTTATTTTTAAAGTGTAATTTAACTTCCGTTTGTGTCATTTGAAATCTTACAAATGCTTGCAAAAAATGACTTTGTGTTGAGGAAAATGTGTCTATAGGTTTATTAGTTCTTTAACTCAATTTCCAAGTTGATGCATTTTACACTACAAACATGTATTTTAAAAAAAGCACTTATTGTAAAAAATTCAAATTAATAGCTACTAATAGCATTTTTTGCAATGCATTCAGCACAAACCTGCAAAAAGTTTACTAATAGTTGAGCCAAGTATTGAGAAAGTACCCTCTTCTTCATCAGGTGTTGAACTTGATTTTTCTGATACTAATTCTACATTCACCAAATTAAGTATGCCACTGTCATCCATAGCAAAATGTGCTTTAATCCCTTTACTTTCTGCTCCATCCTTAGTATGTTTATCTAGAGCTTCAGTTATACCAGATAATGTTATAGTAGACAAATTGAAATTGCCAATAACACTATAATAATAAAAAGTATATTAGTGAACACAAATTTTATATATTAAGTAACAACTATTAGAAATACTTACACTATTTCATGAGATGGTAAGTAATCCAAATCAGCATAATTAATATGAAATTTAAAAGTCTCTGAATATTTATTAAATGTGATGATTTTCTTTTGTGGATAAGGATTCATTCTACTAAATAACGATTTTTTAACCTAAAAGTACCACATATTTTTAAATGATGTCTACTTCATTCTTGTGACAATTAAATAACGATAATATATAATTAAATAGGAATCCAAGCTTACTTGTTTTACTCTATTATCAACAGTTCTATCAAAAGTTATTTGTATGGGAAACAGTACAGCATCTTTAGTAACAAATTTCTTTACTTTAAACCCTTTACTAAGATCTGCAGCTTTATACACTGCTCCTAATGCTGCAGCCTCATCAGTGTTGATATTTTTAGACAACTCAACTGTTAAATACTGACTTAAATGCTCTTGCACTTTTGGCATTCTGGTGCCAGCTCCTACCAATACAACTTGAGATATAACATCCATTGATAAACCTGAAAAATTTACATTTATTTATGATACATAATAGATACGTTTTATCACTTTAATTCTTTTCAACATACTCGATGTTTTTAAAGCAATTTTAACAGGATTTGCTACTCTCTCAAATAAATCAGCACAAAGTTCTTCTAATTTTTCTCTGGTAACTTGTACTCTGAAGTCATGCTCATCTATTAATCCTTCAATTTGAGCAAAGTGATCTGTATTTGCACTTAAAACATTCTTAACACGACCTGCTTCTTTAAAAAGTTTTGCCATTGCTCTTGGATTGCTAAATACAGAGTTTGATGTTTTGTTTAAAGCATCAAATTCTTTTGCCAAGTGATGTTGTAGTCTAATTTGTACTTCTAATCCTCCCAAAGTACGGTCATAACCCACACCCAAAATAGTAACATGAGGATTAGTTTCAACAAATCCTTTTTCTTTTGTTTTTACATTTTGATAACTGACAACTGTTGCAGTAGTACTACTAGCTCCCATATCATAAAACATTACATAATGTGCAGTATCATTTATTTCTTTACTACGAAAAATTCCATAATTTAATGCAACAGCAGTATAGTCATTGATAAGTTGCAAAACTTTGATTCCTGCAAGATCTGCTGCTTGCACAAGAGCTCTTCTTTCAATTTGATTAAAAAATCCTGGAACTGTTATCACTGCTTCACTGATCTTTTGACCAGCTGAATTTTCTGCAAATTCTTTTCCTTTATGTAAAATTTGTGCAAGTAATTCTTCTGGAGTGTATGTAGTATTTTCATCCAATCTAAATGCAATTATTTCACGCTCTTCATCAGAAACAATATCATAATATGGAAATCTTTTTGTATAAAGCTGTACCATAGGATTATCTATAGATTTCCCTAGGAGATCTAATATATAAGAAAAACTATTTTGGGGTGACCTAATTCCAACTACTTGAGCATCTTCTCCAAAACTTCTTTCCCCATTTCGAAATGCAATTGTAACTGGTGTTTTCCTCTTTGTCTCCTTATTCAGAGCTATTTCCATAGGAACACCAGGCTGTATAAATCATTGATTAAAATTATTAGTAAAATTTATGAATAAAAACATTTATCAAAAAATTAATAATAAAGTAATATATATTTTACTTACTGAAACAATGGCAACTTTCATTGACTCACTACCCATATCAATACTCATAACAGCAACCCCATTACTATGGCCAATAAAAGTTACAATAGTAATCAATAATAACCAAATAATGGACATAGCTAGCTCATTTACTTTCATCTATAATTTAAAACAGGTAGATGGTAAACTTAATATTATCATATAAATAAATTTACAAACTATAGCACATTTAAACTTAATTTTCATTGAATGTTTTTAGTTAGTAGAGAAATAATATTTAGAAATTTCTCTTTCATAATTAATATGATTATGAAGAAAGAATATATTAATCAATTTACTTTATTTTATACAAAATGGAAAATTTTTAGAAAAACAGAAAGCATTGCAGTATACAACAGTACAGTATTTGATAAAAGACAATGAATAAGAAATTATACTATAATCGTTAGAAAATGATGGAGATAATATTACATTATAAAACACACGAAACACTTTCAGACACACAAAGGATAATCTTTGGATAGCACGAGGATTTCCGCAAGACTGTCAAACTTGGTTATGATAGCCGGAGAACAGAAAAATCCTTAAATAATTTTACTCACTTTTTCTTTTTATTCTCAAAATGTTAATCTATCGATAAAATAACTATTGCTCTTAAACCATTAGACATAGGTACACGTATAATTCAGTTTGTTTAAAGTAAGAAAAAACAACGTACACCTACTGCCGTTTCGTCAAACTGAACAAGAACCATGTGTTTGTGTGGCACAACGGGATTGGTAAAATAAGATGGAAGAACACGTTCATATTGGTCCGCGTTGGCAAATCAAAATCAACACTCCGTTATTCCACCTCCACTGCTACGATATGAGCACGTCAAAGAATCGTAGAACCTCATAAAAAATAATTTTTTTAATACTTAATCATTTACAAAGTTTATCAAACATATTATATCAGAATTGCAATTTCTTTTAGACTTGTAATTATATTAAATGTATTTTAGTTAAACGATGAAAAGATCTGGTAAATAAAAAACAAATTGGTAAATAGACATAACCATAGTTTATTTGAAAAATTAAAATACAACGTTGAATTTTCAGTCGTTCAATACTATGGCAATAAATGAAAGTTTGTTATAAATTGTATTAATCTTGTATATATGGGTATTTATTGAAAACAAATTTTTATTAAATTTTAGATCAGCTATTTATCTTGTTATATCATAAAAAAATCTTTTACAAAAAAGAGAATTATGTTACATTATTAAGCAAACTATTTCTATTGGACAATACTTGTATTTTATTATACACTGTATTTGAATATAAATTAACTATGGATGAGTAACATGAGTAAGCAATTAAATAACTAGTTGTATGTAAATAGAATGTAAATAAAACCAAAAAAATCGCTCAATTTTACAAAGAACTAATGCAATTCGTTCACAACAGAATATGTATAATTATTTGTTCTTTGATTTAAGGTATTCTGTTATTAAATTCAATAGAATCAGAAAATTCTGTGCAAAAAGTAAAAATGATTTTAATGTACAAATATTGAGTAACCTCATTGCTCCTCTGTTCGTCCAAATTTATATGTAAGGGATCCCAGAAAGATAAATATATTTTGTAAAAAAAGACCTACACCAGGCCAATGATGTTGGGCTCCTAAAAAGTCAAATTAATCAAATTTAATCACAGTAATTATTGATATTGTACTATAAAGAGCACACAAACCTGCAGCAACAAAATCAGCAAATAAGATCCAACAAGCTGCAATAACTGCAGCAAATCCCATTACAAATCCAATAAACAGCCAACTTCTTGCACCTCTAGGTCCAAGGTAACCACCATTATATGTATCATCTCTTATTTGTGCATTTGTTACAGAATTTATCCTAAATTAAACAATTCATAAGATTCAATTATAACAAAATATGAATATGAACAATAACTTACATAAAGAAAGATAAAGTTCCAAATACTCCACACACGTGAAATGCATTTGACATTTCATCAGGATATTTTGCATGAGCATCAATAATAAACCACCATCCTATAAAAAACTGAAATTGCAAAACAAGATAATTAATACATTGTATATAATCTCTGAAAACAGTTGAAGTTCTAATAAAAAACGTATATTTTAATTCTTTATTTTTACAAAGAAATGCATCTAATAAAAGCTTGATAAAACCTATATTACCGTAAATAAATAACATAAGTTGACAATATTTCTATGTACAATTAAATACAAAATATATCATTATATACTGTCAGAATCATTCAAGGATAATGTAAACTTTAATGTTTACCAATGTTCCGGCGAGCATAGACACCAATACATTTCGTTTTTCGCCAAATTCCAACCATGTACACGTTGCGCTTTGTAGACTTTCCCGAATAGACGTCATTTTAAAAAATTTTTTATGAAATTGCGTGGAAATTGAATGTTACGATTAAAGAGTTAACCTAAATAACAAGCATATCAATCACGAATATCATCACACAACCATGTAAGTATGTAAGTATGTACATGGTACGGAAAAACTTCGATCCATGAGAATTATTCTTTAGATTGTAAACCCCCTTTAACTTCAATGGTCTTTCCTATTATAATCATCATATATTAATCGAATTGTAAAATATTTTATTTGATAAAATATTTATATACATAATTTCTGTATAATTACTGCATTAAAAAAGTTAATAAATATTTGAAACAAACATTTCTTGTTTCTTTCACATCGTGTTATGATTCTAGTGATATTTTATGAATTATGTGGTACTATTTAAAAAAGTAAAGAAAAAAATGGATTACCACGTGTTCGGTATAAGGTGTCATCAAAATAAATATGTAATTAAATAATTTGTAGTTTACTGTAGAAGTAAGTTATATAAATATTTACTAAAAAATGATGGTTGACTTAGGCTTTGTAGAGAAATGTGAATCTTGGCGTTTAGAAAGTAGATTTTTTCCAAGTAAAATCGGCGGTAAACCTGCGTGGCTTAATTTAAAGAATATTCCTGAAGAGAAAAATCTTCACTGTGATTATTGTAAAGAACCTTGCATTTTTTTATGTCAAATTTATGCTCCATATGAAGACAATGAAAACACTTTTCACAGAACGATTTTTGTGTTTATATGCAAGAAATCAGAATGTTCTATATCGAATGAAAACGGAAATTTAAAAGTATTTCGTTCGCAGTTAGCGAGGGTAAATGAATTTTATCCACCTGAACCGCCTATAGAACAAAATGATTGGAGAAATGATATTAGTATGTGTTCTAAGAAATTAATAACTTACATTTATACATTTTTAATATGCAAAATTAAAACACTCGAGCCCAAAAAATACAAATTGAGTGATTTTAGGTGTAGACCAATGGGTAAAAACGTGTTATGTTTGTGGAATATTAGCACCTAATCATTGTTCTAAATGTAAAAGTGTAAATTATTGTTGCCGTGCTCATCAAATTTATGATTGGAAACATGGGCATAAAGAATCTTGTGATATCAATCAGAAAATTTCAAAATACAGTAAATTATTATTCCCTGAATATGAAATAGTAATAGAAAAGGAGGATGCAAAAGATGAGAACAATGCAAATGATGTTTCCGAAGAAGAAAAAGAAATTAAAAAGTATGAGACAATATTACAAGAAGGTGGAGCAGGTACTTTTCAAAATGAGGATGTGCAAAATGAATTGCTAAGTATGGCTAATCAAAAGGAAGATGAAACATTTTCTGAATTTCGTTCCACTATTGACAAATATCCAGATCAAATATTGAGGTGCAGATTTATTATGTTTTTGTTTGTAATTTGTTAAGTAATGCATCTTTGATGTAATACAGTTTATGTATTTACAGATATAACAGAGGAGGCAACATTTTATATATTTCAGCAGAGAATAAAATTGGTGAAATACCAAAATGTTCAGAATGTAATGGAGAAAGACAATTTGAATTTCAGGTAAAGCAATGTGAGATATCTTTTAATTTGTAAATAAAATCTACACACACAATTAATATAAGATTATATTTATAGATCATGCCACAGTTGTTAAATTTCCTAGAATTAGAAAATGCACTTAAGTGTATTGACTGGGGTATTTTAGCAGTATATACATGTACAAAGTCATGTGTACCTAAAAATGGATATATTATGGAATACATATGGAAACAAGACATTATAGAAGGTAATCTCGACAACACTTCATGAAAATAATATAGAAATCCTTAACATATAATTAAAATTATATGGAAATATAAAAAAAATTATAAATA